TTTTTTTTTTTTTTTTTTGTTAAAGTAGGTGGGATCAAAAAAAGTTTTAACCTTTTTCTCATGTTTGGTGCGAGTAAGATTTTGTTTACGGTGAAAGTTGAAAATTTGGGAGATTTGAAAGAAAGTGATTATGGTGGGTTGGGATATTTTAGGTGGCGGTAGACAATTGTCTCCGACCCATTTGCCTCTAAAACCCTATTTCATAGCCAAATGATGGTTGAAATTTCTAGTAAATTGCAATCTCTTCCAATAGGCGAAAGGGCAGATTTAGGTATGATTGTCTATGATTTTTATTTTTATTTTTACCTTTCATTAACTGTTAGGTTATTTTTAGATTAGTTTGTGCACCCTCAAAATTAATTTCTTTTAATTTTGTTCAATATATGTTATTCATATTGAGATTAAAGAATTTATGAAAAAATTAGTTTTTTATTAACTTCTATCTAAAATTAAATCTTAATTAATAAAGTAAAAATTAAATTTTTTATCAATTAAGTTACAACTCTTTAAGTTTGTATATGCTTGTTTATCATGGATACTAGTTAAAATTGCTTATAAAATTAAAGTATAAGTGTGTAATAACTAGTTTGGAACAAAGGTGGTACATATGTTAAGTTTGCTTTAAGGAAATTGATAATTACCTTTAATTTGACTATTTTTTATTATATTGTGACATGTAATCATAATAAATAAATAAATACAGTACATATTAAATTAAAGATCTCATTAAATAAAAATAATTAATTATTTAATAATTTATTTAATGTCATGTTAAATTAGAAAAAAAACATTAGGATAACTTACTCCTAATCATTCTTGTTAAAAAATTTGTATTTAGTTGTTATGGATAATTGAACGCATGACGTCTTGACGTTATGACATTATCGTTTTAGGCAAGATTACCTCTTCTTGGTATTTCATCTTCATCGGATTGAATGAAGAATTGCATACTGTTCATTTGATTTTATTAACTTTTTCTATATCCTTAAATTACTTGTTTTCATAGAAAAAGGAATAGTCTCTCTTCTATGATCTGACATTAGAAAGCAACTAAAATATGAAAGCATAACCCATTCAAATGGTTTAAGGAGGTTAAACAGTCATCCAAATCTGCAAGTTCGAATTCCTCAAATATTTTTTAGATGTAAATAATTTTAGTTGGTTATATTCATCACTTTTAAAGATGAAATTTTACTTAATATTTATAAATATGATAATTTATAACTATTTATAAAATTAATTAAGTTAAAGGGTTTGAAGCATTATATATATTATATATATATGTATATGTAGCGTTACTGTTTCTGTTTAGAAGAAGAAGAAGAAGAGAACATTATTATTAATTGACTTTTGTGTAGTAATTATATTCAATTCCCCACTTAAAAGGTGGAACTTTCCTATTAAGGCCACTAATAATATGGATAAAAACAGAAAAATTCCTCACAACCATCATTCTATGGTGCTTTCTTAATGGTAGTTTTATCTCGAGAAGCTTTTTTGGTAGAAAATGCTACAAAAACCTTAAGTTTTGAATCTATTGATAAATAATTATTAGTTTAAAATTCACCTCTTGAGATAATATTTAAGGAAATTAATATTTTTTAAATATATTAAATTGATAAAAAAAACGTGTCTTTAAAATTGTCTAAAGAGAAATTAGTTTTGAAATGAATGCAAGTTACTTAAAAGATACTCTAACAATCCAAACCAAGTAAAATATTTGCAAAAGCTGGGAAGTATATTGTTTTATCATCAGAATGTTTTGTTAAAATGGTTAACTTCTTTATATTTGTGGGGGTGAAATTTGACCAAAATTTTGGGGGGACCAAAAATTCCTGGAGGGGTGAATTAATTAAAATTAAATTCTTGAAGGGGCAAATTTATTAGAGAGCCCAATACATTTTCTGGGTCGTGGCCCCAACACTGATAAGGTTTTTCCCTTCGTTTTTTTTTATTTTATTTTATTTTTTTTTATTTTTTTTTTTGATCAGCAGGTTTTTCCCTTCGTTATCTGGTAAAAAGTTGACATTGCAATTTTTATGGGAAAATTTTAAAAAAAAAAAAAAAATAGAAGAAGAAATTGTATAAGTGGATCTCAATGGAAGAGAGTGAGAAAGTTTTGCAAAAATGTGATTAAAATAATAAAATGTTATTTTTTTTTTAAGTAGGAATTAGTGTGTGGAAATGAGAACTCGTACTTTGCTCTTCATCTTTCTTCGAAACGGTGGGAACATCTTTCCCAAAACCAAAGACCATCTTAGTGCTTCTGGAATATTAACATGTTCATTGAAATTGCGCTTGAAATTATTGTCCCGCATGCAGCACTCAAAATTATTAATTTTATTATCATTATTTTGATTATTTTAATATTTATAGAGTTGTACAATATTTTTAAGTAATTATTAAATATTAATTTAATTTTATAATAAAAAATTAATTTATAATATAAATTAAATCGAATCGTAAAACAAATAACTCTACTTATAATCATAAAGAAAAATTCATAATCAAAGTACTACTCAACAATTTAAATCTCTTTAATAGATACTGGACACCTCATAATTCATTTTAAATTCTCTTAATGAAACTCAATTTTTGCCAACCAATCCCCCTATATAATGCCATCAGCCCAACAATCCCTCGGAGTATCCACATTTCACATTTGTCAGTTAGCTCCTTCTGCATAAGTACTGAGTCTGCAAAATGATAAGGCAGCTCTTGGTGCTGTTTTTGGTGGTGATGATGGTGAGTTCCTGCGGCATGGCAGGGCCGCAGAGAGCAACCGTCGGTGGAATATTTGGGGAGAAGCAGCACCACCGCGTCGAGAAGGAAGTAACCACCTTGGAAGGAAGAGAAAGCACAGCTAAGTCCACGGACGAAAGCAACAACCACCATAGCATACCGAGACAAGATTACCCTTCTCCGAGTAACGATGGAAACAGTAATGGTGGAAGTGAATAGATATACTTGTTTTATGGATTAATGCGTTAGTGTTTATAGGTTGTGTGAGTAGATAATGATGTTTCCAGTTTGGTGTTAAGTCAAATTATAACATTATTATCATAGGGCCTAAATTTTATAATCTGGGTGAAGCTAGGCCGTAAAAGACTATTTCGGACGTGTGGTTTCCATATACTAAGTGGGTTTGCTGGGTTGCTGATGTGAAATAAAAATTAGTGTCATGTGTTTATCTGTATTGACATATGCTCAGGAGACATGCTGTAGTTTTTTTTGTTGTAAATTTTATACATAAGTACTTTGTGATGAATTTTGTTTTACATTTTGATTTTATACACTGGGACCCCCTTTTATGGCCTCAACACACAAAAACAATTGGAGGCCGTCCTCTACCATCAATGGTTAGTCACAAAACATTTCTTTTTACATATAAGCTGGTTTAGGAAGTCCAGAATCCAAGATTCAAGATAGAGAAATTAAAAGCAAAATCATTCTTGTTTTGGCTCATTGTTTTTCTTTGATCTTGCAAGTACCATGCATAAGGAAATTCAAAAAGATAAAAGGAGAGACATACATCAATATTAAAGGAAAACCCTACCCTTCTTTAAACATCAGTTCGCCACAATTCTGGCTATTAGAATTGAAACCTGTATCTAGTTTACCGGACATTCCTAATGATCTGAGAACATGTATATGTGCACATCACTGCACAAGGGTGAAAAGGGGAACTGTAGGATGAAACTGCTTCTTTACAATTGACTTGCTGTTGATTTAACTCTAGTCTGAAACATGGTTAAATGGTTCTTCAAGTACCATTCTTCCGACTTACATTCTTTCCCCGGGGGCAAAGTTGAGCAACTTTTGCTCTTGCAGGATGCTTGGTTGGGGTAACATGCTCAATCTTAGGGCTGCAAACATTGGGATATGGGTAAATGGTGGCAAGTTCACGGACTCGGCGTACAACAGTCTTTGGCAGGGGTCGCGCAGTATGCTTCAAGTTCCGCTCAACCTGCAGTCAACTAATCCTCTTAGTAATTGCAACCCAAATTCTGATCTTTTCGCCAGCTTAGAATATACACGTACCATAAAGGAAACAAATTATGAGATTCAAACAATTGAATTTTGAAATGGACATTATAACTCAATTTGCAACAAAGATAATTGAAGTGCAAATGAGAAAAAAAAAGGTAGAGCTAACCTCTTTATTGTTGCGTTTATGTCCACAGCTTGATCTTACAAGATTTCGCCATTTGTCCTGGAGAGTTCAGAAAATTGTTAAAGGAAATCAAACTTGAAAATAAGAGAACCTAGCAATTGAAAAAGCAATTTGAAGTACCCTGAGATCTATAGGGGTGCGATATACAGATGATGAGAATAGAAGCCTTTTTATAGCAGTCCATTTTCCAACTCCATATTGAGAAATACCATCAACCAACTTAACCACCTCTTCAAGTGTCCACATCCTTTGATGTTTCCTCCTGTCACTACTCATTTTAGATCGTTTTGTCTTCTTCTTGTCATCTTCATAGTCTGAAGCAGTGAGGTCATCATCAGATTGGAGTTCCTATACACAAAATGAGGAAATGATTAGATTTTGAAGCCACTATGCATAAGATGTAATGATGTATGTCAACAAATAACCAAAGATCAACTGAAACTGAAAAACAAAAGGAGGGAGTGAAAAAATAAATAAATAAATAAATATCCCATAGTCATTACTGGAACAAGAGAGAGACTCCATCCATATAGTTTGTCTTTGACGCCCTCTTAGGGTTCAAGTCAAATCATTAGAGTTAGTGGAATGAAACAACCAGACAAGATATTCCACCATTCCATGCACGAAAAAGAGAATATAAGCTATAAAAAAACAGCTGCAGATGAGTGAAACTTTTCCTACCGATTTGGGTACGACTTTCTTGACACGTCCTCTCAGCAGCCGTGATTCAGATAGCACTTCAGGAAGTTCATTGTCATGTTGCACTTTCAGACGTTTACTCCTTGGAGCAGTGGAAGAGAGTCTTGAAGATTCATCAATATACCTCACAGTAGGCTTGCGGAGTCTCATCTGTCTGCAAAGCATGCCTCCTTTGGTTAATTTTGTAGAGACTTTTGCTTTTTTCTTAGACAATATGAGACTCACTAAAGGTTTTTCATCATCATCAGACTCATTAAGATTTTGCAGATCTTCTGTAGTAGGATGTATTTCATTAGTAGCTGTTGCTTCATATCCACATCCATTCTTCCCAGGCAAACCATTCTTGCAGTCAGACTCTTGAACAGTTGCTATTGGTGATTCTGATATCCCACTGGTGCTATTACTACTTCCACTAAATACAGGAGAATGACTTTCTGTACTTGAGTTGCCTATGTGTGATCCGTCACAACAACCATAATCTAATTCAGAAAATTTTTCAGGAAGTTCAACATCTGCACTTGAGAAAACCAGCATGGCAGGGAGGAGAAATAACATAGCATTAGTGAAATTATACAGGGTATCACAATCAAAAAGCTCACCATGTAACCATAAAGTTTACCCAAAAGAAAATCTTCATATGCACCGGAGAGAGTCTGGCCTGCTTGAATATCATCAACTTCATCAACTTCATCTAGCCATCCATCCAGAGCCTACTAAAGCAAAACGTCATCAGATATCTAATAATAATAATAATAATAATAATCAACTTTAAGATATTTTAAATTAGAGGATGGAAAGTTTAAATTAAGAAACAATGAAGCAGAAAATAATGTGCAAACGAACAATTCACAAATAACAGGAAAAATTTCAAGAATTAGAATTACATACTTCAAACTTTATGTCAGCCCCTCCTTGAATATCACAATCCATCCCTAATAAAAAGCCAACAATTTTAGAAGCATGAAAACATGTCAGAAAAACATGAAGAGAAAGTATGAGCATTGAAAAAACTTGAAGCATCATGCTTACATGGTGCAATATTTGAGGTACAAGTTGCCATTTAATGCAATTATAAAATTTAAGAGTACTTGCTCCTAAATGTGATCATCTGCCATTACCATGCCAAAATGATACATGACACAAACGTCCATTTTTTAGTAAAGACATAAAAAGGTTTTTAACATTCCTCAAATTAATATAACGTGAACAAAGGCATTAAACAGATCAATCAAAAAAAATCAAAGGTCAACAAGACTAAGGCACAGTGAAATTGTTACAAGAAAAGTGACTCAAACATAATTATTGATTGCTACTCTAGGAAATTCGCATATACTTGACACCAATCAAATTCAAAAGCACTTAAAAGATCTACAATCTTTCAAATAAAAGCATCAGGAAAGAGGATGGTTACAAGCCATTAGAGTATTACCACAATTGATTTTCCAGCCATAATCATATCCAAAACCATCCACTTTCAAGTGTTTCTCTGAATTCTCCTTGTCAAAGCATAAAAAACCATCTACAGAAACATGATCACTTTTAGGTTCTGCAAGTAAGTGCTCAACCTCAATTGCTTCCTCTTCTGAGCCAGGAACAACTGCCTGCTCTACCTATACAAAATTCACAGAATTATTTAAGGAAAATGGTCTAAATGAGAAATGACCAAAAAAAGTCACAGTTGCTAATAATCAACGATACAAGATTGTAAATGATGGATTAATGGAACATTATAAAAGAAAAGAAAGAAGCATCCGAGGAGACATAGACAAGTGGAACATGGATGGTAGAAGGTACAATAACAAAGGTATAATTTTTAACATAGCTAAAAGCAAATACCTCAAAGATATATAAAAAGCATCTTCAACAACTTGTAATACTAGCATATAAAGACCACTTAGTTCGTTACAAGCTACATAGAAAACCAAATACATTGCATAAGCCTACATAAACAATGAACACAAGGTCCACCTAAAAACTATTGAATTTAAGAGTTCTTTTCTACATCTACATCTTTTAACAAGAAGATGTTAAGAGGAAGCAATGAAAACATTATAATTGAGAGTCAACAATGGACGAAGACAAGACATTCAATAATCAAAAGGGGCACAGTTATTGGCCTCAATTCAAACCACAAGACAAGTTTGATTTTAAGTCAGATTTGCCTGAAGCATGAAATTAATAGTCTAGAAATATCAAATTTCAATGTTAAATTCAGATAAAGTTAAATCCTGTTTGTTCCCTTCCATACATAATCCACAATCCATGATAATACAATTACTCCCATCATGTAGTAGATCAATTTAGGCAACGTGCAGAATGAGAAAAAATAGTGCCATGCCATGCATTAGTCTGATACCCAATGAACCATATATCAATAATTGGAACAACCCTCAATGTAGAAAATATACTCACTCTTTTGCTTTTTGTGTCTGCTTGGTTCTTGATCAAATGTGGTTGCTGATCCATTTCATTTTATGCCCTTAATGCATATAATTCCAAACCTGCATTAAAGGATCCATTTCTTCACCAAATTAGAATCAAGAAGGCATGTTTCATTTATAGATAACTTCATCCACTGAACATGAAAAAAATATTCAGCTTTCACACATTGACAAACAAGCCATAAACATAAAGACTCTCATAATCATCAATGGCCAAGTATTGAGAGCAACATATCCACAAGATTACCACATCAACAGGAAATCTGAATGAAATCCAGAAGAAAAGAAGTTGTAGCTATCCTTAATAGATCAAAAGATTTTCTACATCCAAAACTTTTAGAACACAACCCTTCTTTCAAATTTATATCATTTTAAGGGAAAAAGTGCATGGAAATGGTAGATATATATATATATATATTTTAAACTAGTTTTAGCTAAATATAACAATCCATTCCTAATGATCTGAGAATCAATTTTGTCCATCTCAAATTACTGTTTGAATAAATTTTCTCCTCAACCTTGCCCTTGAGGAGAGGATGGCAAGCTACAATACTACAATACAAATCCACCACACTCATTAATTTATCTTACCAAATAACCCTACACACTTTCTGAATAGACAGTCATGGCAGTGCTGAAAGGATGCAAATTCAAGGGTATTCTCTCTTTTTTTTTTTTGGTGAAAAATTCAGGGGTATTCTTGCTTGTATATTGGCTACCAAGTCAGTGAATTTAGAGTTTTCCTATCAAAAGGGGATTTTTCACATTAAGTCATTTCCTTTTCCATCTCAAATCCCACCAGCAACTTGGCATGCAAATGCAAGAATTTTTTTGACTATCATAATGCCAATCTATATGCATAATGGGTAATTACTTGAGCCAGCTTGGTAAAAAATTTTACATTTAGTGCTAGACACCATTGACCATAGAGAAATTAATTAAAAGAATTTATGAGGTTGAGGTCAGCCCATAGCATAGCCCTTTTATAAAAGAATATGTTTACCTACCCCTGATATCCATTCATCATGTATATCTTCCCTGATGTCATCATAATTTTCTTAAGCAAATACTTCTTCCGGTACTAAGGTTGCCGTTTTTCCTTTAAGAAAATAGCTGCTAATGTCATAGTTATACCCCATTATACCTGTCCCACTAAGGTGATTGACTCAAATTCTCTCCAAATAATGCTTGCATCATCACTAATGCAAGAATTGAACAATAGTGGGCAAATAAACTAAGAACCAAGGAATAAAATAAAATCATTTTAAAACCTATCAATATAAAACCATTTAGATCTTAAGAAATATTTATACAGTATTAATGCATCATCACCTTCACCTTAGACCTTTTTTCTGCATGCAAATACAAGATTCAAACCCACCAAAAAAAAAAGAAAAAAGAACTAATTAATAATGACAACATCTCTATAAAAATTTCAATTGTACTAAGGAAATCACAGAAAAAAAAAAAAAAAA